ATTCATCCGTCCGTCCGTATCCGCGTTTTATCCTAACTCGTTTTTAAAACACAAAAGTGCGGTTCGTCATGATCAACATTTTCAAAAGCGGCCAATTAGACCAGGGGTTAAAGGGCAATGACAATGACATGCAGATGACATTTAACATTGCGTCTCACTAATTAAAATTTGCGTGTTTAATAATGTTTATCAAAGAAAGCAAAAATGTATACAAGACAATCTCACATGTGGAGTTTTTTCACTTACGTACTGCCTTGTGATGCAGTACAAGTATAAATACAAATGACAAAGCATTTGTAAATTCTAAAACATAATTAAAAAATCATACGGCACATTTAAGATTTTAATATCGTATTTCAGCCGCGTTTATACTGTTTGGCGCATTCGCTGCGTTATATTCATTTATATACACAGAAAAGCATGTCATTGTCCATGCAGACCATAGGCAAAAAGCATTTGTCAACCACATACCAAATTTAAGCAATCGTTAAATCATATACATATCATGGAAAGAATATGGAAATAATGTTGAATGAAAGCTTCGCGTATAATATTAAAAGCACCGCATATAGTGCTCGAACCACTGCGTATAATTGCAAAAGCACCGCGTATATAAATGGTGAAAGCACCGCATATAATACTGGAACCACCGCGTATAATGGCGAAAGCACCGTGTATAATGCCGAAAGCACCGCCGTATAATGCTAAAAGCACACAACAATGCCGTTTGATCACTCTAAGCCAGCTATGGCTTTCCATAAAAGAAGACCAAAGATGAAAGATGATCACATCGCCTGTTTGCCTTATGCCTGACCGCGCTGCGCCACGGTTAAAATTCACTGGTACCGTCATGCAATGCGCCAAATAGAAAATTTTGATTTCGACCCACAAAACAAAATTAGGATCTGCTGCCTTGCTCGCTCGCTTCAGGCTCGCTCGCTGCGGCAGCAATTAATAACTTTTGTAATAGTTTTAATATATGATATTATACAACTATTTAAGGATACAGAACTGTCTGTTGCAGTGTAGAGGTACAGTATAGTGCCAATAAAAAAAACATTAATTGCTAGGGATGCATGCAACTATACCTGGAAAAGACAAGGAGAAATTCGACGTGTCGAAGAAGGCGTTTCGTCGGGAAGAGTGACTTTGCTCAAAACGTCGAATTTCTCCCTTTTTTTTCAGCTATATAGGTAGTTGCATACATACCGACAAGTATTTTAATTTGTAATTGTTTAAGAACCATGATCGATAAAAATACCGTAAGATTATTACTATTATCATGAATATCTAGATCACTATTGCACAAAGCCTATAAAAATTTGACGTTTAAAACTGTCAGATTGTTATGCATCAGGAGCCGGTTGTTCAAAGCTAGATTAGTTTACACGTCTACGCTGGTGCAACCGATTGTTCGACTGAATGTGGTTAGCTTAACCCTAGCCTAGCTAGGTTAACCGAAAATTTAAAGCAAACTTTCCAACAGCTTGTATAGACCCATTGCACTGACGTCACAAATCCTTAGAGTGTCCTCCAGATGCTCCCTAATAATATCTGTTCGGGTACAAGTCGTATATACAACAACCACATACAGCGCAAAAATTAACCATTTTAAAACAAAATTACTATAAACTTTTACAAAATTTGCTTTATTTACAAAAGTTGTACTGTGCATAGATTGCTAATTTGTCCTCCAGCCGAATCAGGGCGCTATAAAACACGTGCGCTGAAACGGAGATAGCGCCCCTGATCTTTGTGTGATTCGCGTACCCACCGTACACATTAATTTATAGAGGGTCCTGAAGGGGTAAAATGGGAACTGGGATTGATCTATTTTTAGACTGGGAAAATGGGATTTGGGTTGCTGGGACTGGGATTTGGCCACTGGGAATGGGAAATGAAGTCCTCAAAAATGGGAATGGGATTGAGGTAATGCGAGTCGATTCCCAATTTTTCTGCGTTTTGAGTATTTTAAAATACAATTTTGATCCGTTTTTGGTGTCTTTGGTCATGATTTTTGTTGTTAACTATATTATTCACAGTGCTACCTGCGAACAGGCATACTCTGGCGCCCGCAATTCTGCGTTTTCTGATTATGCGTGTCTCAGAATGCTGCAAATGCCATTTCCGGGATTCAAATTTAAAAATTTTCACGAGCACCCCCCTAATATTTCATAAAGTGTCCGCCACTTGCTTAAAAGGTCTTAAAACTGTTTATTCTACCAATAAATAAAGGGGTTTTTATTGACTGGGATTTCAATAACTGGGACTGGGATTTCTAATAAAAATCCAACTGGGACTGGGATTTTGCCAAAATTTCAGGTGGGAAATGGGATTGGGACCCCCCCCTTCAGGACCCTCTTTATAATGTCAATAAAAATAGAATTGGAATGTTTGTGCAAAAAAGAGCTGAAAAAACTAAAATAAAGAATGTTTTCTGCACATTCCTAAACAACTTGATGGTTTAAAGACATTGTTGGATTAATTTTCTGTATATCTGATGAAGGAAAAAGGGCTTTAAAGATTCATCATGAGCGAAATAAAAATTTGAAAAGGAATCGAGCTGATCGAATGTGGGCATGTTCCAAATACGAAAATTTTGGTGTGAAATGGGATATTTTACTTCATAATGCGAAGGTAGGATAAGCATTTTCAGAGTAAGAATATTCTGACATTGCTTGGCTACTATTTTTTAATAATCATATAGAGCCCAAAATTGACCTTGCAATGCATTTAAAACAACTAAAATTTGAAAAAAAACCCAACTACAATTTGCTCGACAATTTGAAAACTTAAATATATAACCGTTTTTGTGTTATAAGTTATAACCAGCCGGCCTGCTCGGAATCCATTGAAAGTTCATTGTAAAGTGTTTTTTACTAATTGATTTGATTTCTATTATTGGTATAACTGCCGCCGACACTCCAAAACTAATCAGCGTGAATCGTTTTTCGTGCGACTGCATGCAGATGTTGACATTACAGTGACAGTGTTACGGAAAACTATAAAGGCTGCAAAATATCTCCATTTTATGAAAAAAGCACAAAAAAGCCCCTTTCAATTTTACGTGAGACATAAAGCCAAGTTAAATGTCTATAGTTTGGTGTATTCTGATTTATCTCAACCTATCTCAACGAGAAGAAAACACTATTTTAAATACGTCCGCGCTTTGACAAAAAAGAAAAAATGTCGTCAAAATCGAGTTCAAAATGCATGTCTTTTCCTCAACAATCGCTTTGTTCATTTTGCAAGTGAAATAGATACCAATTTTAGCAATATAAGCTGATACTAGATACTTCAATAAACACTTATAGTATGTATTTGAGGCAGGAAGTGATTTCGTTCAAATAATAATTGAAAATTTGTGTTGTTTAAATGTCGTATTATCTGCATAAATTTAAGTATAGTAGTCCCGAATCTATTGTCGTGTGGAGTATACGGAAAACTTTAAAGACTGCAAGATATCTCCGTTTTATGAAAAAAGCCCAAAAAAGCCCCGTTCAATTTTACTTGAGACATAAAGCTAAGTTAAACGCTTATAG